TTTACAGGAACCTTCCGGTTTCCGGATCCATAGGGGAACTGACTAATCTGGAATCGAGCCGAGTAGGGCCACAAGGGCGGCAAAGTTCTCCCTCAAGAATTTTAACACTGCTGCATTCCCAGGGCTCGAACTCGAGACCACTAATTAAGCTGGAAGAGACCCAAGTCATCTCATCCAAACGCTGTTGGGAGGTTTAGCTTTCTTTTCTTTTACTTCGTGGGTTTTTTAATTTTTTGAGTTACTTTTGTTTTTCCATTTTTGTTACAGTTTTTTTACCCGTGTATTATGTATACTACAAAATAAATAATTATTATTTAAATACTATTAAATTATTTAACACAGCATGCAATTCTATTCAAAACAATATTCAATTTAATAATAATATAAAATTTATTTATTTGCTACTATTGTTATTTTTCTGCTTTTTGTTTAAAAAAATAGGTCTTGACCACTTAATATATAAGCTTTATTATTTATAAGTTTATAAATATTATAAATGTATAAAACTATATGATATTTTCATATATGTACTTATAAGATTGTCGATTATCTTAATTTTATGAATTTTTTAACAATTCATAATTTGCACAAATTAACATTTAATTCATAATATTTATTTTTCCTTTATTATATTGTTTGATTACATGTTCCCGATCTTCTTTCCATCTCGGATCTTAGGGTACCTTGTTCTTTTTCTTTATATTTTTCTTTTTATTGCAAATTGAGGACTTGATTGCTTTAAAGTTGAAATCTTGCTTACTATTAGTATAAAGTTGTGGTCTTTAGCTTAATCTAAACCTCAAATGGCGAGTAGAGTGTTTATGATCTTTATTTTCCTTTTTGTGTTAGTCGATCATTGTCCGAATCCGTGTCCGAACAACTTTATTCAAGAGACACGACTCGAGGTCGGAATTTATTCCGTACTCGGCTAAAAACTACAAAACATAGCACATGTGAGTAAGTCAGTGTGCGTGTGAGTGTGTGGGAGAGGGTTAGTAGTTGTGTGAGGGGTCCACTGCTTACTATTAGTATAAAGTTGTGGTCTTTAGCTTAATCTAAACCTCAAATGGCGAGTAGAGTGTTTATGATCTTTATTTTCCTTTTTGTGTTAGTCGATCATTGTCCGAATCCGTGTCCGAACAACTTTATTCAAGAGACACGACTCGAGGTCGGAATTTATTCCGTACTCGGCTAAAAACTACAAAACATAGCACATATGAGTGAGTCAGTGTGCGTGTGAGTGTGTGGGAGAGGGTTAGTAGTTGTGTGAGGGGTCCATTAGGTGGTTGGGATTGGTTGTTAATGACCAAAGTACGCTTGCTGAATGGTCAAAATGGTCAAATATACATATTTGACCACAATATGACTACTTATTAATTAAACTGTCATAAGACGTTTGACTGTCATATTTAAGATTTGACTTAATCATGACCATTGATATGTTTGATTCAATATATCATTCTCATATGATCTCACATCCCAACTCATATATCAAAATAGACAAGCTCATTCGAGCTTAAACAAATCGAACTATCTTATGAGTAGCTCGATTTGTGTAAAATCTCTAATCTCGACTAATAAAGGGTCAAGAAATAGCGGAAAATAAACTCTTCGAAGCTCTTAATACCACATAATAGATAAAATTAGAAACAAAACTCAATGTACAATTGAAACTTGCAAGTAACACATGACTTGTGTTAGCATTTCTAACGTGAGATCAAACCGAAAATCAAACTCTTTGGCTTAAAGTGTGACCAATTAAACTCAACCACATAATTTCTTGGCGTGTTAGTAAGTATCTCTGTTATAGCTCTTTCCCTTTTTTAATTGGACAAAAGATACTAAAATTTTATCCTGAAAGATATTTGTTTTAACATATATGGCTACAAGAAATCCATCATCCTCGTACAAGCTGCAGCGTTTAGTCACGATGTTTTGCCGGTACAGAGCTGTTTCCGGCAGTTCGTGGCGGAGCAACCAGGCCAACCACCGTGGGCCACCGACGTACACGGTGGGACGTGGCCGTTTGGTGGATCAAGGGCTTAGGTTCCTAAGTGTGAGCTCCAGGCAATATACCCAACCCATGTTGGGAATGTAAATGTTAAATATTTATTCTTGAATTATTATAAATTTACATTTAATTTGTCTCCTCTTTATATAATAAATAAATTTTAGTTTGCTGATATTTTTTTTTTTCTACAAAAAATAATAATTGCTAGGGAAAATGCTCCTCCTGAAGAGGTGCAAGTACAACAAGCATTGCCAACTTCCCCTACATTTGGCTTTTCCAATTGGTATAAAAAAAAATTCTCTCTTTATTTCCAAAAATATGAAATATGCTATGTACAAACGGTTTTGCTATGAAGCCATCAGATGACTCGACTTATAGAGTATTCATCGTTATTTACAAACGAGGTATTTACACGTCTCCTGCAATAAATGCACATTGAATATGTGTCAGTACATAAAGTTATGGATGACTCCATAAAGAAGTCATTCGATGGCTCTATAAAATTACTGATGAAACAAATAGTTTTGATTAAAAAATTAATATACGGCTATCTTATACAGCACAACCACCTTATCTAACTCACTTGGCTCCATATAATTGAGTCAACTTTTTATACACGGCTAATTAAGTAGAAAAAAAAAAAAAATCTAATTACATAAAAAAATACAATAGTATTTTACTTTGATGTCACTATATTAATCATTAATTGATTAAATTGGGATATTCATAAATTCAATAGAGTAATTGGATTAAAATGTAATAAATTTGTAACTGTAAGTATACCCATTTAATCAATTACAGGATGAGATGGCTTTTGGGATCCATACTATCATTGTTGCTACCACTGTGGAATAACAAATGGGACAACTTACTTAAATTGGAAGGTATGGTGTTTGTTTACACATTTTTTTCAATTTATATATATGAATCTATTTTCAAAATCGAACTCAATTTTAATTCAACTACATTATCATCAGTATTATCAATATAATTAATTAACATCAAATAATTATTTTTATACATCACATCAATTTTAATTCACTATTCATCCACTCAAATAATTTAACTAACCATCACTTCACATTATTTCTCTCTTACTTTTACATCAAACCAATTTTAAGTATTTTATTTTAAATATAATTTTAATATAAATTCAATTTTAAGTATTTTATTTTAAATATAATTTTAATATAAATTCAAAATCGCACTGATAACAATTTTTTTTTTTTCAACATTAACTCAAGTTAAAAAAAAAAAAATCGTTTTGAACGGATATATTTGTATCCAAGCACATCCAATAATCAATATTTCCCAATTGCTACATAACAATTTGAACCATGAATAAATTTTTGCAAACATTTTGTAAAAGTTGCACAACACAACATTTTATTATTGTCTTAGTTTGTTTCAACCTCAAATACTAGCAATTTATGTCATGTTCTTTTTTTTTTTCATAAATAAATTTCGTGAAATTCACTACTAGGAAAATGATCAAATTCTAACGAAAACAAAAAATTGCGGTTATCAGTTAAGGCGACAAAAGTGGTGGATGAGGTGGAGGTGGTAGCTGAGGTGGTGGCTGAGGTGGCGGCCACCGCGGATAAGGCGCTTGCTGAGGTGGCAAAACAGCTCCCAGATAACAGCAAGCTAAAGGAGGCAGCTCAAGTGATGGAACATGTGTCTAATGTAGCTGCTCAGGAAGCTCAACTAGTTGAAGACATAATCCACAAGGTATTTATAAATAATTAATTTAATAGTTTCTCTCCTGTTGGGAATATACTGGGTATGTTGATGTTGATGTTGAATGGTTTGTCTCCTTGAAATTTGGTATCAATAATTAATTTAATACATTTCATTATACTTAAGAATATATATACATTATGGATATACAGATGTTGCCATTAGAATGTTTAACTGTTATATAGTGACACTTTTTAACAAAACATATATATTTATTGTATAAAATATCATAACTTTATTCATATTGTATTTTAAAGTAAGATATTTGGGTATGATGAAAGAAGACAAAAATATAATTTTGGTCCTTTAAGTTGTTCATTGTCCATTTTTTATACACCAACTTTCCCCTCACAAAAAAAATAGTACGTTATGTTGCAGTTTGTATTACTGTTGAGACATTATACCAGAAATTGTTCATTATTTTTTGGGATCAATGTCCTAAAAAGGATACATATTGCAACATAACGTACTTTTTGGTGTGTAATGTTATAAAATTGATACAAATTACAACATAACGTACTATTACTGATGAGTGGAAAGTTAGTGTACCAAAAATGGAAAATGAACAACTTAGAGGACAAATTTTTGTCTAATGTATAGTTTTTAAAGATATTGCCATTTTTTTTTTTAACTAGACAATTTTTTGTATAACTTAGGCAATATTCATTCCATAATATCTTCTTTCACATTCTATTTATTTTATTAACATTGCTTTGTTTACTTAATTTTCATTTTATTTTGTATTTCCTTTGTGTTGGGATGATAGGTTGGTGATTTGAAGCAAAATTTGGAGGATCTCGATGCAATGGTGGAGCCAATTGTTGAAAAGATGACAAAGGAGGATCACAAAAAAAATTAGCGGGAAAAATAAAATACCAATTATGGTTTATAGTCAGTATCATACTAGTATTCATCTTGTGCACATGCACACAAAAAAAAATTAAAAATGTATATATTATATGTATATAGTATTTAAATTTTTATAAAGATAATGGATGTATTGAATTTTAAATTTTGACTATATGCAAGTATATGATGTAAATATAAATTAGTTAACTTACGTATGAATCTTTATATTGATGTCATAAATTTTATTGGACAATATAATTTTGTAATTTAGAGGGATCATACAATTAATTAGTGAGAAAAGTATTATATTATTTTTATTATTGTTATAGCAATTTTTTATGTGATTTTAAGGTGTTTAATGATGACACTCATGTCAATTAATCAATATTCAATAAAAATCGCTTAAAAAGACGAAAATTACTTTATTTTGGAAATAATATTTTAAATAGAAAAATTGCAAATTTATTTTTAAGTATGTGACTTTCACATACTATCTAATGTAAAATTACAATCAATTAGTATTAGTAGTAATCTATATCTATATATATATAATTACTAGCTCTTCTACATTTAAGAAAACCTCATAAATTACCTAGGTGGCACTTTTACATTTTCCCCCCAAAAACCGTTACTTTTCATTTATTTAACTTAATTAATAGATAATCAATACACTAATCAATTTAAAATACAAAAATCATTTTAAACTTTTGATTACTGACAATTAACCATATAATGTGTTACCGTATAGTGTGATTAGATATTATTATTGTGGTTACATGTAAATTATTTTTGTTGGAAAAAAAAAGTATATGAAACTCCTAAATAAATTATAAATAATTTTAAAAAAATTACATACCAAAATATACGTTACATCCAATCTAATAAACGCAATTTAACAAAAAATCAACTCCTTTAATTGTAAATTTGGCTGCAAAAACGTGAAAGAAAAATAATTAATCATTATATGCATACAAATAACTCACAATATTTTATTTCCATTTGTGCAAATGCACAGGTAGAATACTAGTATTATATAATAAAACAGTTTAAAATTGTAATTACACTTTATTAATGTAAAATGTAACGTTTTTACATTAATTGGAAAAATGAGAAGAAAATTAATGAAGATTTTATTAACTAGGTAATATATATATATATATATATATAGATTCTACCACTTACAAATGTTCTCTTTCTTGACAATAAATTTTAAATTAATATTCATATCACTTTTTTATATTTATTTTTTTGTTAGAATCAAATTATTACAGGGAGACCAAAACATACTTTAACTTAAACTTTACGGCCCGAATAGGCCTCAAATGCCCATATGTAAGGTTTGTCTTTATGGGCCCATTATTAACTCAAAGTCTCAAAATTCTATATAATGTTGAATAAAATTGAAAATTTCATGAGCTGGCAAATGATACGTTTGTTGGTTTTTAACGGCTATAGAATTTAATAATAATTATTTAAAGGCCGATAACGGTAGGGTTTTCATTTCATTATTATTATTATTATATTATTATTATTATTATTATTATTATTATTATTATTATTATTATTATTATTATACTTAATATTTCAAATGAAAAAGTGGAAATGTAATTAAAAATGTTGTAAAGTTTTTTTCATTGGTTTTTTTTTTCGAAAGTAAAAGAGGTTTTGTATATAGCTTATTAAAATTAATTAACTATGAGCTGATTATTTGATTATATATATTACCTAATATCAAATAACTGAGTGTATTAATAAAATTGACTTGTAATTCAACTAGTAATTTAACAAATAAGCTAGCCTATTATATTAGCTAATATCAAATAACTTGTTTATATTAATTAATTGAACAGCAAATTCAATTTTAATTTGACAATAAGCATTTACATCTTTAGTTACTTTTTGAACTTTTCATAATACACATTTTCAAACATGATTGGTCATATTTCAAAACGGAAGATGCTAAAGTCCAGATGTAAAAACATTCCGTCGGGTTTAACACCACTAGATCAACTATATCTGACTATTACACAATAATTTAACGGTTACAAACTTTGACAAAATGGTACAAACTTTGACAAGATGGTACCGCAAAGAGACCTTAACATTTTCCTTTTAGAATTCCAATGAGGAACTTTTATTGTTAGGCTTGCATTGAGATTAGAGATCTACTCATTTTCATCACAAATAATAAGAATTATTTTTTTTTTTTTTAATTAAATAAAAATTACCATAACAAATACCAGAAGACATCTATTAATAATGATAAATAAATAAAAAAAGTAAAAAACAAAATCATCAATCTAAATTCCCGAGCAGAAATAATTAATCACGAAAATAAAAAAATTCTGCCTACTAAATAAATAACGGTAAAATCCATAAAATTGAAAAAAAAAATGAAAATAAACAACAACAAATAAATAAAGGCGAAAACTCATATATTAGACTAGAAAGTACGCCGGCGCCCGGCGGCCACCACTATCCAACTATTTACGCAACCATAGCGACCGCCAGAAGTCCGGCGGCGATGGCCGCGATCCCCACCCTGCTCACGACGCCGCCGTTGGCGTGGGGAGCCGGTGCGATGTCCGACGGTGGAGAGGCGACGGACGGGGACGGGGAGGATGCCACCGGCGGAGGAGAAGGCGGAGACTGCGCGGCCGTCGGAGTGGGGGAGAGAGTCGCCGGAGCCGGAGGCGGCGTGGCGGGTGACGCCGGAGCCGGAGACGGAGCTCCCCTCGGCGGCGCCGGTGCAGTAGACGGCGATCTGACTACCGGTGACGGCACCGGAGCTATGGATGGAGACTGGGCGACGACGGAGCCGAGCAGCACAGCCGCTGCCACCATCAGAAGAGAGAAAGCCTTTATAACCGCCATTAGAAGAGAGAAATTTCTAGAGAGAGAAAGGATTATTAGAGAGAGAGGGATTTTTTTCTGGGTTGAACTCCGGTGGGTGAGAGCACAGGAAAATAGGTGTGAGGGTTTGATTTATAGGGTTGTGGGTGAGATTCCGGGATCATGTGGGCCGTTGGATGGAGATCTGCCTAGAGAGCATATCTTTTTGGCGTGATTCTAATCAACGGCGGCGATTGAGAGGGAGAAAAGGGTAAATTGATTAATTGAGGGGGAATGTGTTTACCAATTACGGCGAAACACGGCGGTTGTCTTTTATTGTAAAAAACGCGTCAGTGAAAATTACTTTGTTGGTACGTTTAAGGTAAAAATAAATTGAGTTCTGATTTCTGCATAAGCGTGCTTTTCCTTCTTTTTTTTTTTTCTTTTTTTCTTTTTTCTTTTTTTGACTCTCTTTTGTATTAAGATTGAAACTAGTGGGATACTCGTGTGATACACGAACTAGTTTTATTATGGTAAGATTTAAATTTAGATGAATATAAGAACGTAAAATACATATCCCCCTTATATATTAATACAGAATGCGCTGAGCCTACGTGGCTGCTTCTGGTGCTTCGGAATCTTATGTGGCAAAATTACATGCTTCGTTATTAGGCTTGGGTAAATTTTAATTTAATTCCAAACAAAAAATAATTAGGTTCGGATTACCATAAATATGTTGATTATTTATGGTCATGTTACATGTATTAATTGTATTTTAATATCATTCCTTATTATGCTATTGAACTATATATATATTTTAAAAGTTAATAACTTTTGTATTTTTTATCAGTTTTACATATGTAATATATCAAATTAATCTTCTTTTGATGAGCTTCGATTTAACATCCATATTGTATGTATAAAAATAATAATTTATATTTATCTTTATAACAATAATAATTTTTTTTAATATTAATTAAAAAATAAAATTATTTATCAACTAATATAGTTATATGATATAAGTTATAAAAGTTAATATAATATAACACATGTAAGTCATAAGTAACACATATCATTCTAAAGGATATAGTAATATATTTTTTGTAAAAAAATAAACTAAATTTAATATAGTTTTCTCATTAATTTTAAAATTTAAGAATAATTTTTTAACAAGCACCCGTGTAATACACGGGTGTTGTACTAGTATTGTAATAAAACAAAATGTAACATATATATTATTTAACACATTCTTACACACAACATTATTTGTTTGGGTTTTGGTACATCGTCGATCGTCACAAATAGACGTGGCCACGGGTCACACGGCCCACCGACCCGGACCCAGAACGGACCCGGACCAGTCAAACCGTTGACCACTGGTCTGGGCCTGACTTGGATTTCAAACGGGCCGATCAAGGGTCTTGTTTTTTTCGACCTTGACCCAGTGGGCCAGGCCAAGTCGTGTCGGCACGAAAAATACATTGCTTTTTAAATTTTTTCTTTTTTTTTTTTATTTTTTTATGTGGTCGGGTTCAGACTCGGTTCGGGCCTAGCCCTGCCCGCCGGGTCGTGGACTCAGCACGACTCTAGGTTCGTGCCGGTTCAGGGTCATTGAAACTCAACCGGTGGCCCGGTCGGGTCGTGACCCGACCCGGTTTTGGCTATGTCTAGTCACAAATTATATTAGGATTGTAAATAGTTTAAATAAATCAATTAAATTATTTAGCATGATATATATGATATGATTTATATTTGTTTTATGAATATAGTTAAATATAACGGAGATTAGAAAACGTCTTTCTTGACAATTTATTTTAAGATTGCAAATTACTTAATTTAAGGAAGGAAAAATTTGTTTAAGTGTATGCAATTCATTTCAAGTTTGTATTATAGAGGATTAAACCAAACTCAAATTTTCGGGATGTTTCATTCCGCTTTCATTTTGAATATCAAATTAATAATATCAGACCCTGTTTTATGTTAAAAAAAGTACAAACTAAAGAAAGTAGTAGTCAAATGATAAATGATTTTTAAATTATAATTTTTAATTTGAAATTGGGTTTGATTTCTATTGAATCCTATTTTTTTTTTAATAAACATGATTTGTTGCAATTATTTAAAGATACATGTTATAATATTTTTCCTAATTTAAAATTCTCGATTTTATGGTTAGCAATTTTTTTTAATAAAAAATTCGAGAATATTGAATTTTAGAAAATTGTCGTGCCGAATTTTATCTAACTTAACCCGATTTCTATGAAATCTGATTTTTTTTTTAATAAACAATTGATTTGTTGCAATTAAGAAAAAATATATGTGATAGTATTTTGTCTAATTCGAAAGTTTTTATTTTATGGTAATCAGTTATATATATATATATATATATATATATATATATATATATAATGAGAAAGAATTTTGACTTTTGTAAAATTGTATGCATCAGTCGAAAATTATCTAAATTAAATCCACAAAACTCATGAATTTAGGGTACATATATAGATGATTGTTTATTGAGAATAATTTAAAAATAAAATTCAAAAATTGCTAAAAATATAATGCTATAAATGCTAGTTGACTTTTTTTGTTACTATTTTTGAAAAATAGATTTTCTCTTCTTTATATACATAGTGAAAAGTGATGTTTACTTAATCTCACCTTTATATCTATTCCTCTATTGAAAATTACAAAAATAAAATCAATTTTTAGTTGCATAACTTTCAATAAATATGTACTATTCATACATGGACACCTATTTCTAGTTACTAATCGTTAGCAATTAATTTTTTATTATGCTAATTTTTATTGACCAGAATTATTACATTTTGTTATACTCATCATTTTAAGGGAAATGTATAGATAAATCCCCAATCTTAAATTCATCTTCTCATTCAGTCCCTAGTGAAAAATTTTTCCATT